AGAAACAAATGGAGGCCATATAGAGGTGTCACATCAGCAGTTTTGGATTCAAATATATATATATATATATATATATTGATTATACAAAATAATTAAAACTTAATAAATATAGAATTATATTACAAGCATTTATTTTTAAAAAATCTCTCTTTTTTTATTTGAAGGGTGTTTTTGTAATTTAACTTTTAAGTTGGGAGCTTCCTCTTATAATAATACTAGTTCTCGAACACATGCAATGCACGTGTATTTCATACCATTTTAAACTACACGAACACACAGTCAACGAACATGTGTGCTCCAAGCATAGTCCATGTCCACATTTCAAAGTTCAAATATTCAAAGACATTCATAGATCAACTTGTACCTGAATTTGAATTTTATTGGAACAGAAACTTTTCATAAATAGATAATACTAAAAGAAGTGAATATGCTGCTAGCTTAGAAATAATACAAAAAGTGTTGGTCAATATTTGTAGCTAAATCAATTATATTGGAATAGATTTATCTAAAGTAAGACTCTTTTTAGAAGGAGAAATCTAACCAAAGAAGGCAGATTAAATAATTGGACAAACTCACCTAATAATACACTTTATAGAGTATTTAACGAATGTGAAAAGATTGACCAGAATAAATATTATTAAGAAGATTAAACTATGTCCAACCAATAAAATAAAGAAATTTTATATATCAAAATATGAATGAAAATGAAAAAAGTAGTTGGGAGATGAAAGAAAAAAAATTTAATGAGTGAAATAAATTTTTAAAGTTCCTACACACAAGAATTGTATGAAATAGTAAATTAAAGTTTTTCTTAGAAAAGTTAAATTTATACAATAAAATTATGAAAACATGAAAAGACACATAGAAAATTGAAAGGTCAAATACTATTAAAATAAATATAAAAAAAGATAGGGATGAAATTTAACTTTAAAAGATACATGAATCTACTTTAATTTCTTGTCTTTAAAGAATATTTACTCATTTGTATTTTTTCAAAATTTGTGTGAGTAATTTGAAAGGTCAAGATTTTGAAATGAGAATAAGAAGATCATATATATATATATATATATATGAAAATTATAAAAGTTTTAATTTAGTAAAGGGGCAAAATGGTAATTCAACTTTTTACTTTGGAGTAGAGCCGTCAATATGGGCTAGGCCCGTTGGGCCGGCCTGACCTAACTCGAGATTTAATTAGGGTTGGGCTAAGATTTATGGAGCCCATTTAAGAAAAAGGGCTTTTTAGCCCGGCCTGAATAAGCCTGCTCATTTCGTGGGCTTGAGAAATATCATTAGGGCCGGCCCGTGGGCCAATAAAAATTAATTAAAAAATATAATATATCACGACCCAAAACGAGCCGCGAGTGGCACCCACACTTATCCTACTATGTGAGCGAACCAACCAATCTAAACCCCAACATTTCAACCATAATAAACAGAAAATAATGCGGAAGACTTAAAACTCATTAACGAAATCAATTAACAACTTCTAAAATTTATCAATTACTATCCCCAAAATCTGGAAGTTATCACCACAAGAACATCTATCCTCAAATTACTAAATCTAAGAGTATCTAAGAAGCTAAAATAACTAAACAGCTAGTCCATGCCAGAACTTCAAGGCATCAAGACGTGAAGAAGAAGATCCAGTCCAAGGTAGAAACAATAGCTCACCCTGAAATCTGATTATGCTGAGGTCTGGCTAGAGTTGCGGTTGAGTTGAAGTTGACGGTACGTTTGCTTCACTCCACAATTAACAAAGAGAAAACATACAAGTAGGGGTCAGTACAAAACACAAGTACTGAGTAGGTATCATCGGCCAACTCAGAATAGAAAACAATATATATCAAATAATAACATAAAACCAACCACATACTTAACAGGTGACAACAACAAGTACCATAACCATTGGCCACGACACCAAGCACATTTATGAGGACTCAAGCCTCCATACCATACTCAATTGGGAAACAGGTCCTTTAAATCTGAGTATATTAGCATAATTCAAGATTCATTCTCTTACTATCCTGGTGTCGGAACGTGTCACTCCGATCCTTTACTATCCTAGTGTCGGAACGTGACACTCCGATCCTTTACTATCCTGGTGTCGGAACGTGACACCCGATCCTCTACTATCCTGGTGTCGGAACATGACACTCCAATTCTTTACTATCCTGGTAACGGAACTATCCTGGTGTCGGAACGTGACACTCCGATCCTCTACTATCCTGGTGCCGAAACGTGACACTCCGATCCTCTACTATCCTGGTGTCGGAACGTGACACCCGATCCTCTACTATCCTGGTGTCGGAACGTGACACCCGATCCTCTACTATCCTGGTGTCGGAACGTGACACTCCGATCCTCTACTATCGTGGTGCCGGAACGTGACACTCCAATCCTCTACTATCCTGGTGTCGGAACGTGACACCGGATCCTCTATTATCCTGGTGTCGGAACGTGACACCCGATCCTCTACTATCCTGGTGTCGGAACGTGACACCCGATCCTCTACTATCCTGGTGTCGGAACTTGACACTCCGATCCCCTAATTCTACGTGTCGGTTCGTGACACCCGATCTCCTAATCTCATTCTTTCAGTTCATCAAGCCTTCTTTTATACCAAGACATCATCATTAACAAAGAGGTTTTAAGGTTTAAGATTCAACAGCCTCATCATTATAAACCATCAATATTTACATAATCACACCATGCAACAACACAATTAAGCATATAGAAGACTCTACAATACCATCCAATACATATCAATCGCTATTTAGAGTTTACTATGAAATAGTGTAAACCATAACCTACCTCCATCGAAGAATCGTGATCAAGAAATCTACTTTTCCAATGCTTTGCTTTCCTCCTCGTTTCTCCCTCTCTCGTTCGTTCGTTCTCCCTTTCTCTTTTTCTGATTTTTCCTTATTCAAACTCTTTTTCTTTTACCCTAATTATCATATAATTAAGTATAAAAGATGACAAAAGTAACCCACTAATTAATTCAAGGTTATCTCCTTTAACCCCCAAGTAATTGAATTATTAACATTTAACCACTAACTTTATAATTATAAGCAGGAATAGTCCAAAACGCCCCTTAAAACTTTTAACAGAAATCCGATCCAGTCAGGGTTACGCAGCCTGTGACGGTCCGTCGTGCCTGCGACGGTCCATCCTGCTGAGTCGTCACAGAGTTCAGAGACTCAATTTTATTAAAGAGTCTGTGACGGTCCGTCGTGCCTACGACGGTCTATCCTGCTCTTCCGTCGCGAAGTTCAGAGAGTTGTTCTCAGTACTCAATTTTTCCAGAGTCTAAGTGTTTTGGAACGAGACCCCCTCGACGGTCCGTCGTGGGATCCGTCAACCCAGACAGTTATTACCAGAGATAAACTCTACTGCTCAAAACGACTAAACAGGTCATTACAATATAATATTAAAATTTAAAAATAAAGAGAGTCCAAATCAAAACAATTAGGTTAATATTTCTATTTAGATATTTATACTTTTAGTTGAAAAAAATTAATAAATATCAAGGAAAATGCACAAGTACCCCGTAGACTATGACCAAAATCCCAGAGTCACATCTTAACTAAACTAAGGTATTATTACCCCCTGAACTTTTTTTTATACACTTTTGGTCTTATGTGGCACTCTATGTGACTCCACTCAATTGAGGCACGTCGGAGACATTTGGATGCCATGTAAGCCAAAAAGGTACACAAAATTACAAAAAAAAAAAAGTTTAGGGGGGTAATACGATCTTAGTAAAGTGTATTTGGAATTTCGGTTATAGTCCAGGGGGTACTTGTGCATTTTTACTAAATATTATAAATATAATTTTATTTATGAATTTGATTAACAAGTAGTGACATTAAGGTCTCATTTGTTTCTACTAAGATTAAGACGTCTAAATTTGAATACACATATAAATATTAAGATCTAGATGTGTAAATCTGAATATTAAAATATTGTCTCTGAATTTGAAACTAAATTATTGGGACAGTTTGTTTTCAATATATGAATGCATGAATGAAATTAAACGTTATATCAATAAAATATTATCAAAACCTTGTTAGTAAAATAGTTTTTTTTCATATAAAATAATATTTTAAATTTTTTTTATCGTAATAAGGTAATATGATTTATCTTTTAAGAACTCAACATAACGTTACATCATTAATATAATTATTTTTTGCACTCAAATACTTTGAGAATCTAATATAATGCAATTCAAAATAGTTTATGTAGAGTATTAAATATATAGTTTAGAAAAATATTTTATTTTAGAAATTTATTATTGTTATCTCTGAGATTTCGGGCATAGGTTGAGAGGGTACTTGTGCATTATCCCTAATATAAATGAAGAAAATTATTATGGCAAGAATGTAATTAAATATTAATTAAATAAGAAAACAACTTTTATGAGTTGTGATTTAGTTGAATTAAGATAGGAGTCTTATTTTTTAGTATGAATAGTGTTAAAGGTGTGTTACATATCTGATTCATTCAGATATATCCAGACCCATTAAGAGGCTTATAAGAAAATAAAACAAACGAACTTAATGAACTGAATCTGAATAATTAAGATTCAATTCTTAAAAACAAACACTTAATGATGCAAATCTGAATGATTAAGATTAAAACCCTATTAATTACAAACAAATGAAGGCCTAACATAATATAATATTGTTTTATCGATATTTATGATAATATTTTTAAATAATAATTTATAATTTAATCTAATAATTATATAAAAATATAATTTTTTAAAAAGTGGACTGGCCCGGCAAACCTGTAGCCCACGTACTTGTGAGCTGGGCCGACCATTTCGTGGCCCACTTAAAAAATGGGCTAGCCCGTAAAATATCAAAGCATGTATGGGTTAACCCGAATGGGATAGGCTAGCCCTTATTGACAGCTCTGCTTTGGAGCTTCTCGCTTATAATAATATATGATTTGATGAATGATGATATATGGTGATAACATTGGGGAGACAGAGGAAGAAGAAACATGATACTATTTGTTGCTTAGAAGAGTGAAATGTTAAATTGGATATTTGCATAAATACATTAGCATCTGCAGTTGGTGAAGATTACTGGAGGGTACCCCAACTCATGTACTATTCATTTGTACATCCATTCCCTTCTTAACTATACATCATTTCTAACTATTTCAATTGCAATGCCACCGATGGAGTAAAAACGATGATACACAATGACAATTGGTTGGTGTACATATTATTTGTATACACAGCTCTATAATAATGGACAGCTGACCATCGCTATCACAGATCTGTTACTGACTGCTGCTGATATCTCTCACCCACAACACTAGTTATTCTTTACGCAATCATGTTCGACTGAGACACTAAAGAACATTGTTGTATCCAAGTCTGACATAGTACTGCCTATCTGTAAACCCTCTTCAGCCTCATCTACTTGTGTTCATTAACATTGCCAGCTTCAGAAACGTTAATCCACCTGCTATGCTGAAAAAGAAGAGAAAAATTATTGTTTTCCATGAACATCACAGCCCATCAATAAAAAATGCAAAGGCATCTTTACTTCTTTTCTTGTGAACTAAACATAACATGAAATTCAAAAGAACAAAAAGTCATCAACCCAGAGCTATTCAAAAGAATCCCATACTGAAAAGGAAGAAAACAATTAATTTGAAAACGTTCTGGACGCTACTGCCGTTTGCCTGCCAGTTTAGCCACTAGAGACAATAAGAGAAGGAGAGGAGGCATTCAATAAACACAGTAAATGATAGGAACTTCCTACTTTCAGGGGGAAAGGGAATACAGAATATACCAGAGTTGTATGTGCATGATTGTCATTGAGAAAAACTTTCAGAACCGCCTAGATTTCTGTTGTGAAGGGTATCCAGGTATTCCCATTCCTGGATCTTTCCTTCTCATCTGCTTGACATCCAAAAGCATTAATCAATTAGGGATCAGAACTACCAAAAGTATAATAATGTCACGCTGACTAAAGCAACCTGCTGCTGATGTGCCTGAGCAGCAACACCACGCTGCATGGGCATGTTTCCAGGGTTCATTCCAGCACTCATGCCAGCTTGAGAAGCAAGATTATAAGCAGACATGCCCTGAGGTTGCATCCTTGGCATGTTCACCATTTGCATTGGTCGGGGTACAGATCTAGTTGGCATAACATGGGGACCATGCATGCCACCAGATGCTGCATTTCCAGATGATACCTGCCCCCGACAAATAGTAACATGAGCAAGATGCAATTGACAAAACAGCGTCATACTAATCCTTTAGAATGATGATACTTGGCTATATAAAATTGAAGAACACCAAGATGATTCACATGTGTTCAAAGTTTTAAGTAATATGGTAGATACATATGGCATTTTTTCAAGAGCATGAAGATTTTTTTCAGTGACAAAGAAAAGAACAGGTCTTGCGGAAATGAATTAGCATTTGAATCTATTTGAAGATTATCTACAAGGCATTATATAAAGGACTGCTACCCATGCAACCACCTGCTCCGTACAAACATAACTCCTCCAAACACTCAGTGGAGATAAATCAAGCCTAGTGTGCTCTAAATTGCTCTTTATGTCCTATTTTTGTGAAACAGATGTCATCTATGTTGAAAGGGAGATTATCAGGCACCTTTTGGGGATAGCAATGTCACTGACCAACTATTGCAAATATTCCTAAACATAAGCACTATCCCTTCGACTCTAAATAGTCCAAAAAATGCACAATAGGATAGTCCTCCAGCACTGCTTGTGGATCTTTGTTGTCTTCTGCCATTACCAGCTATACAATATACTCCTAACGACCCCACAAAGATTCAAGAGAAGTTCCCGGCATTGCTTAGCAATTCCACAATGAACAAAGAGTTTGTTAACTGATTCCAGCTCTTCTTCACATAGGTAATACATTTGCTTAAAATGAATCCTCTTCTTTGCAACTTGACTTGGTTAAGTTTCTATGATGACAACCTACCCAAAACAGGCTACCTTGACAGGTGCTTTGATTTTTTCATAGCGGAAAGTTTTGCTTCTGCAAAAGATTATAACAGCTTTTAATTACTTGTTGTCCAAACCATCAATCCTCTTTATCTTCTTTAACCACTGTTGTACCCACTAATTGAAGTTGTTACCCAACTTCCATTTTTTTTTTTTGACAAAGATAACTTCAGGCTGGAATCCCAAATTTACATCATGGAGCTACATACAGTTGAGTATACTCAAAACAGAACTAAACTAGCTCCTACTTCATCTTACAAAGAACCTAGGATATTATAATAGCTATAGGATCATCTACATACTCAGAACTGCACTAATAGCAAAAAGTGATAATGCAAATAATTTTAATCCTGTGTAAAGGACTACTTATGCTCTCATAGAATCTCATATTTCTCTCCTTCCATATGGTCCACCAAATATTTTTTTTTTGAAATACGTAACTTTAATGGTACCACCAAATCATTGCTGAGACAATTCTCCATCTGCTTTCGTCTGTACGACCACTACCTTCATTATTCCAGCTTTCTATAGCCTGACTTGCCCTTTGTGGCATGGTCCAGCCTGTACCCTTAAAAGCTGGTAAAATAAGTGACAAAGTTGTCTAACCACCTTGCAGTGAAGAACAGATGATTGATTGTCTCTACCGGTTACTCACAAAAAAAAACATCTAGGACACATGTATTCCCCTCTTCATTAGATTCTCCTGCGTTAGTGCTGCCTCTTTTACGACCAAGTAAAGACTGCCACCTTATATGGAATTTTAACTTTCCAATAAGCCTTCTTAGATTCTCCTGTGTTAGTGCTGCCTCTTTTACTACCAACCAAGTAAAGTCTGCCACCTCATATGGAATTTTAACTTTCCAAATAAGCCTCCAAGGCAAAAATCTGAGTTGAGTCCCCATTTGATTCAGGTTCTTGTAGGCAGAGTTAACTGTGAAGATACCTTTTCTGTAATGAATCCACCTGAAAGTGTTTCTCCCTCTTTCAATCCTCCAAAATGGTCTAAGGTGCCATAAAATTCACTGTGGCCTGTTTTTGGCCTGTTGTTGCTGAATCAACAGATAGATGCCTGGAAAGAGGTGCTTGAGGCTGCCATTTCCTAACCAATTATCATCTCAAAACAAAAATTTTCTTCCATAGCTTACATTGAATCTAGCTAGTTCTTTGAAAGAAACAATGCCACAAGAGGTTGTTTCAAATAGACCCTTGGCTCAAAACGGAAGTATTCAACACAGGATTGTACGAAATTAAAGGCATAATACATAAATGTGCCCTTTAACTTGGCCTCAGCTTTCATTTATGGCCTCCAATTTTGTGTGTACACAAGTAGCACTTAAACTAACATAAAATTGAACAAGTAGACACATGCATCCAACATGAAAATCGCATGAAATCTGCCATGTAGGACGTGTGTGTCTACTCGTTCACTAAGTGTCTACTCATGCACACCCAAAGCTGAAAGGCATAATTGAAATTTTGAAGATTGTAGTGATGGAAAATTTGTTTAAACTCAAATGAATAATAGTATATAACTATATATATAAAGTAGGACATGAGGATTAATAAAACAAGTTCATATCTCAGTATGATGTTTAAGAAAACTTGTTACGAAGAATATGTCTCCCATTTGAAGGAAAAATAAAAAGATTCAACGTGGTGCTTAAACGGTGTCCAACATAAACAATACATCTGCCGAAACCATAAAACAATTACTTACCTTCTTCTTCTCAAGCTTTTTCTTATACTTTTGAGTTCAAAAAAAAAATTACTACTGTTTAGGAAATCCTCCTCCCTTGGTATGCGTAAATCTGAAATTTGTACCGAGCAGGCTACAAATATAGACAAACTTTATGTTTTCCAACTTGGATAAGACAGGATCTTAGTAAATCCAGACTAAGGGCATCTTTAGATAGGTCATGCGCTTATAGATTATGGCTTATTTATAAGCCGTAAGTCGTAACTTAGGAATTCTAACTTACGACTTTTGGCTTATTTTCGTTATTTTGGCTTAAAAACAAGTGCTTAAAAACACCTTTTCATTTTACTCAAACACTACAAAAGTGCTTAAAAGATATCTTGGCTTAAAAGCACCTAAAATAAGCCAATTCAAACAGGCTCTAAGCAATGGCACAGAGCACCTATGCTGTCTGAAATCCAGAGTTCAAGATTTACTGAGAGAATCCCATTCTAGATGAAGTGCAGAACAACCACTCTAGCTGAATTGCAGAGGAAATATTTCAATTTTACTTAGATAATAGTTCTAATTGACTGGCTTTCTTGAGTTGACTCCTACACATTTTGACTGAAATTAATAAATAGAAAATTAAAAATATATCAGCAGCAAATAAACACCAAAAATAAACCAGAAAGCATAGGGATATAAACCTAGTCAATGTACAGAATTTTATGCTTACCGGCTGAGACGTTTGAAGACTAATGGTTCCTTCAAAGTCTGTAGTTGTGTCCACAGGTCGAGTTGGATAATTCACAACTTTTTCTCCAGGTTGTGGTGGTACAAGTGCACTGTCACAATTAAGCAGTTTTAATGATTAACGGAAATAACTAGCTTAATAATGACAAAATACTCTCCCTGAAATGAAGGAAAGATGAAGCATCTATAAGTGCTACAGCTTCACATTTCAATAACTATAGAAAAACCAACACATTACCATGCAAAAGTGTTTCCTCATAATGATTGTCAACAAGAATACAAGGGATGAAATGTTTGTTGTTGAATTACATAAAGTCAAACATCTTTCACATAGGGTCAAATGGGTTTAAAAGAACATGAACGATCCCACTCCTTATTTTATAGTCATAGTTCTACATTAGATGCTTGGATTCAGTATAAGAACATGGGTTGCGAAGCCATTTTCACACTCAAATTGGTTTTAAATTCCATGCATGTATCCAAAATTGGGTTATACATATAAAAAACATAAAGTAAACAAATTCCCTCATTGGCTTTAAAAGAGTATCCAAAAAGGTTTATAAAGATTTTGGGAAATCATCCATTGTCGCAAGGACTCGTACAGGATGTTCACGTTCTTCTATTAGAATATATAAAGTCCCAAATCAGGCATATATAACCATCGAACCTCTAAAGATTTTGAGCCAACTGAAAAACATTGGTAAAAGTTTTGAGTTGAAAGCTCAACTTTTTTCAAAGTTGTCATAACAAATCGAGCTACACAATTCTTTCATTTCTTTCTTCTTCTTTTTTGACAAGCAAATGGAAATTTTATTAATAGATTCAATACCGAGATTAATACTAAGGCAAAATGGTCTGGTGGACCCTTATACTTGTGTCAGTTTGTATTCTGGACCATTCTACTTACATTTTTCTCAACTGAACCCTTATACTCAATAAAACACAATTTAACAAACCCCTATGATCATTGACCAAACATAGGTGGCATTAGAATGTATGAGTTGGCAAAAGTGTGTAGTCACACGCTTCTTGAGGCGAGTGAGCAACAATTTTACTTAAAAAATATTAAAATTTATAAAAGAAGTAATTATTTTAAAAACAATCAATTAAAAAATCTCTTCTTCTTCACCCATTAAACCTATTTTTCAGTCATGTCCACCCCGTTTTTCTTTATTTTCCACAATATATTGTCTTCTATTTAGCATATTTTGGCACTTCTTGAGTTCACTAATTCACCAATGAAGGGAGAGAGCGGCGCTGGTGATGCTCGTCGGAAACCACTGATACGCAGTGGAATGAGAAAGAGGTGCAACTGCACAGCCACAAGCAGTAGCAGCTCTTCTAACCTTTGGTGAAGGTATTGATAGTTTTGGGAGGAAATACTTAGACTAAAATATAAGATGTGAACAAATTTAAATCAAGTTTTTGGTCCCTGATTTTGTTCAAGGACTTATGCCAAAGTTCATGTTACAGCGGAGAAGAGAACGAGGTGGGTGAGGGCGCGCAAGGATCTAATCATGGCGGCGAAAATGGTGATGGTGTAAAGCAAAGATAAATTCAAAAATGGTAATGGTGTTTGGCCAGATCTAGTAGTGTGGTGCTTATGTTTTTGATTTGGGGGAGGTTGGATGAGGAAAGAAAATGGTGATGATTTTCAACGGAGATGAAGGCAAGTGAGGGAGAGAATATGGGTGGTTTCGCCGATAAAAATGGCGACGGCGGTCTTAACTTTGGCGTGAAACAGTGGGAGTGGGAGAGAATGTATGGAGTTTTATTTTAAAAATTAAATTAAAATTTTATTAACCTTTAATTAAAGAATTTTGATGAATAATTTTAGAAGTAATTATGACATGTAATTAATATATCTGACGTGGATATGTCATGTCATTTATGTAAAGGAGAGTGAGCTACAACATGGTTGGAGGGGCTTAAAAGTCTCGTTTTAATTGAGTATAAGGGTTCAGTTGACAAAAATGTAAGTAAAATGGTCCATAATACAAACTGACACAAGTATAAGGAGCCACCAAACAATTTCGCCTAATACTAAATCAAGTATAAGATCTAAAAAGATTGGAATACTTTAGGACATAAGGGATTCCAAAAACTCTTAACAGAACAACAGGGATTTTTTGCTAAATGGGAAATTTAAAACAGTATCTCAGACAAAATCAGCAGTACACCAAATTTAAGATTTTGGATAAATCTGATTTCACTAACTATTTTCCTCTTTGCCGTCAAAGCATCTTTGGTTTTTCTCTGCCCAAGTACTCCACATTAAGAAAAAGGAACAGTCCTCCACAACTTCCTATGCTTATATCCTATCTTCTAACTTTGCCAGGTTCAAAGAACTACTTTGATACTTGCGGGCATAACCCACTAAACATCAAATATATTGAGAAGCATAAACAAGACCTACTACACAAATCTACAATTTAACAAGTGGTACACTGATTCAGCATCATCTTTGCATAAGTAGTGTATGCCACATAGACTGTAGCCCCTTTCTTTGAAACAGGTAACAACTTTGTATTATAAACCAGTACTTAGGGGGGATGTACCAGAAACCCCCTTCAGAGAATAAAGTGTAGAAGAGAAAACAATAAAACAAAAAGAAACACAACACAATCCTAGAATGAATCCAATACATCTAGGATTTGTCAGTGTCTACAGGATATGACTCTGTCCACCAAAAACAAAATAGCAAAACACAGTTGAGCTTGATCTTCTGTATTCATCTCTCAAAACATCTAGCATTCCTTTCTTTCCACATGGTATACCAAATATTGGCATTGTCCGAGAGATGCCCCTGTGATTGAGAAAAATCAACCATAGCTGGCATGTGACCTTTCAATGCAAAAGTGAGTGTCTTACAGTTTCAGCTTCAGTCCAACATAGACAACAGTTTGAGGCAAAGGAAATGCCTCTCTTCATCAAGTTCTCATGCTTTAGCACAGATTCCTTAGCTAACAACCAAATAAAGCAAGCAACCTTATGAGATTGTAACCTCCTTTCAAAGCTTGTCTTGCATGAACCAAACCTCATGCAATGTCTTCCATCCGAAAAAAGCAACTTTGGTCGTAGCCATTAATTTCCAGAGCATTCTCCATGGGCAATTGTCCCCAACGAGAGAGAATTCTAACAGAGAAATCAATGTTCCTGCAGCCTTTCCACACACCGGAATCACTTGGTGAGCTTATCAGGGAGATGTTTCCAACAATTTCTAGTAAATTTCTCCTTTTGACCTCCAGGCCATTAAAGTTTCTTCTAAGAAGAAATGTCCAGTCATTGTCATACCAACAATCAGCAATAATGCAATCTTACAGCCTATGCTGTACAGATCAGGAAAGGAGGCAGCCAGCAAAGCATATTATCCCCAAGCACTTTTCATTTTCATTCCAGAATTTAACTATCCTTCCATTCCAAATTACCAGTTTAGTATGTCCTGGAATTCATCTCACAGGCTATTTATATGCTTCCAGAAGGCTGATCCACAGGGTGTAGTAATAAAAACAGAATTCCCATAACCCGGACACACGTATTTTAGCTTGATACATCTTTCCAATGCTCCTTCTTGTAATCACTCCACCTCCACAGCCATTTGCACAAAAGGATCTTATTTTGTAGCCCTAAATCTCCAAAACCCATTCCTCTGTTTTCCTTGCATAGTAATACTTTCTCCCAGCTGATCCAATGTATTTTCTTGACATCTTGATTCCCTTCCTATAAAAACTTCTTAATTTGTCCTGCTGAGCCTCCATTCTACCTGGAATGGCAACCAATGACATTAAATAGATCGGTATGTCAATGTCATTCAACCACCGAGTGATAGATACAATTTTTTCCAGGTACAAAGTTTTCTTCTCACACTTATTTGTGTCAACCTTCCATATGCTATGATCTTTGTACCTTGCCTCAAGAGAAAACCCAAGATACATAGTGGAGAATTTTTCAACACTGCATGTCATTGCCAATTAGGCACAAGGTTCATTTCTTTACAACCAAAACTGAAAGACTTCTCTTCGGGTTTATATTCAGTCCATACTCAAACTCAATTAAAAGCCCCTTCAATCACAAGATTTGCTCCTTAACTACGTCACAAAAATTCAATGTGTCGTCAACATACAAAATATGAGAAAGATTCACACTATCTCCAACATTATCAGAAATCTTAAATCCCTTCAGCTAGTTTAACTCTGCAAGTGTCCACAACCATAATAAAAAGGGGGGTGACAGAGTTGCCCCGTCTCGATCCTCTTCGGAATAAAAAAAATCCAACATGAGAGTCATTGAAAACAGTGGTAATGTGACGACCACAATGCAGAACCTCATCAGGTCAATCCACCTATCACCAAACTCCATTTTATGCAATGTATATTATATAGAAAAGGCAAATAGAGATGGTCATAAGACGTCTCCCAATCAAGATTCAGTAGGGCTTTTCAAAACCTAAGCTTGTCTTGCATCAAACAAGCCTCATGCAACGCCTCCCATCCAAACAAGCAACTTTGGTCATAGCCTTTGATTTCCAGAGCATTTTCCATGGGCAAGTGTCCCCAACACCAGAGAAATCAGGTATTTCCTCAACCATGTTTGATAGCTTGATTTACCAGAGAATTCAATGTTCCTGCAGCCCTTCCACACACAGGAATCAATTATGAGCTTACCAGGGAAATGTTTCCAACAATTTCTACTAGATTTCTCCTTTTGACCTCAGGACCATTAAAGTTTCTTCTAAGCAGAAATGTCCAAGCATTGTCATACTAACAATCAGCAATAACGCAATCTCAACAGCCTATGTTGTACAGTTCAGGAAAGCAACCAACATACTATCCCCAAGACATATATCAAAAATTCCAGAATTTATTATCCTTCCATTCCCTATTACCAGCTTAGTATGTTCTTGGAATTCATCTCAGGCTATTTATATGCTTCACAGAAGGTTGAACCATGGGGTGTACTAAAAACAGAATTCCCACAATCCAGACCCACGTATTTTAGCTTGATACATCTATCCAATGCTCCTTGTTGTAATAACTCCAACTCCACAGCCATTTTAACAAAAATATTTTCTTCTTTTTTTTGAGAAGGTAAC